AGGCCCAAAAATGCGACTAATGTGAGAGAACCTCACACCTCCAGAACCTCCATCATGCATTCTCATAACAACAAACTCACATTCATTAGGAAATGATAAGTATGCCACCAATATGACACTTCCATCCGATCCAACAGTTTTTTGTAACATGTGGCCATGAGCTAGAAAGGAAATCAATATTTTTTATAATATAAATACCCCAATTAAATCTTATACTATTACATTATAAAGCGGAAGAGTTTGTTTTTTTTTTTTCTTTGTTTGTTTGAAAAGGTTGATTTGAATAATTCTTTTTGTGTTTGGTTAGCACATTTATGGAGGATGGCTATAGGCTATAAAACACCATGCTACGGCCAGCAGCTGTGCAGAGCTTGTGAAACCTCGCGGAAGTAGCTAGTTTGTTATAAAATAAATAGATGGAGGAAATAATATCTTACGAGGAGGTTTTGGTCTGACTAATGTTTGTGAAAGAGGTGTGGACACGGCAATAGGCGCCCCACCCTCATCCAATGGCCACGCGCGAAGGCAGGCGTCGCCACATATTGCCACTGCTAATCCACTAGTGAGTACCACTCCATATGTTTCTACACCATCTGAGGTACTCTTGCCCCTGTCAACACAACATATATATATATATATACAGGGTGTCCAAGAACCTGGCGTCCAACTGGATTCCCACGATGCCCCAAGTTCTAACAGTACTCAGAAAAATATTTTAAAAAATCCACCCCATGTACTTACAGAATTATACTGATTTCAAAAAAAAAGGGGAAATGAGCACCCTGTGACATACTTTTGAATGCTGTGACTGCTAATGCTGATAATTTCGATATTTCTTGGAGGTTTTGTAATCTAGGGTATTGCTGCGTCTTGAAAAATTTTTGATAATATTTTTACTCAACAACCCAATTTTTACGATGTCTTACAGAATTCTTAGAAAGAAAAATTTACGACGAATTGAATCTAACCTCTAAAGAATTACTATTGTATGCTCATAAAAATAACAACAGGCCTCTCAAAAAACAGGTTAGACCGTAAGGGACGGTATGTGCATGCATCTCACCATAGTGATTCGTTATTACAACAGGAGGGAGCAAGACGATTTTAGAGGCGGTGTCGGCAAATCCAAGCATCTCTGTGCGAGGAATAGAAGCTGATACGGGGATACCGAAGAGCACAGCACACAGTATTCTCCAAAAAGAAGAATATCATCCGTACCACGTACAGCGAGTGCAAAGTCTTTTACCTCGAGACTATCCGAGCCGAGTCGCGTTTTGTGAAACAATCCTGCAAAAACATCGAGAAGACGAAAACTTTATCGACAAAATTTTGTGGTCAGATGAATCAACATTTAAGAAGGATGGCTACATGAACCTACACAACTTGCACGAGTGGCATGTGGAAAATCCGCACTTGATGCGAGAAGATAGATCCCAGTACCGGTTCAAAGTGAACATGTGGACCGGTATTCTCTGTGGGAATATTATTGGTCCATTTGAGATGCCCGAGAATTTGACTGGCGAATCATATTTAAATTTTCTTCAAAATGATTTGCCAAACTTACTAGAAGAGACCCCACCAGATATGTGGTTCCAACACGACGGCTGTCCAGCACATTTTCGCGTATCCGTTAGAGAGTTTTTGGACGAGCAATACCCGAACAGGTGGATTGGGCGATCAGGAACAATCCCGTGGCCAGCCCGCTCACCTGACTTAAATCCGCTGGATTTTTTTTTCTGGGGAACTATGAAGGAGCTCGTTTATGCGAAGCCCATTAATGACATCGCTGACCTTCGTGAGAAGATAACACAAGCAGTGCAGGTGATACGTCAAAAAAGTTACTCGCGAAACATAAAGCGGTCCTTTTTAAGGAGAGTGAGAGCTTGTATTGCCGCGGGTGGTCAACATTTTGAACATTTATTGTAATAAAATATCTTTAAACTAACATTCTTTGCTTTTATTCTACTGGGAACCCATCTACCTGTGTGTATTTCCTTCTTGCTCACTCTTGGAACCGAAGTAAATAATAGTAGTAACATAACAGTTTCTAAGATAAGAAAGGGTCCGACAGTTACCGTTAGTAGGTAGGCACTTCGTAAAAATTGGGTTGTTGAGTAAAAATATTATCAAAAATTTTTTTTTTCAAATTAATGTGTAAGTATTATACCTTTTTAAAAAGAGGAATAAACGCGTCAAAATTTGATTTCACTTGCCATACTATTTTGGTACATTTTTTTTACACTACAGTCAGTCAAAGTTGCGAAATTCAATAGTTTTCCATATCACCTTTAGTTAAAATAATATTATATTTTAAAATGGTACAATAAGTACTTTATTTTTACATTCTATTTAGACACAGCAATACCCTAGATTACAAAACCTCCAAGAAATATCGAAATTATCAGCATTAGCAGTCACAGCATCCAAAAGTATGTCACAGGGTGCTCATTTCCCCTTTTTTTTTGAAATCAGTATAATTCTGTAAGTACATGGGGTGGATTTTTTAAAATATTTTTCTGAGTACTGTTAGAACTTGGGGCATCGTGGGAATCCAGTTGGACGCCAGGTTCTTGGACACCCTGTATATGTATATATATATACTTGCTGTTATATATATATACTTGCTGAACTGAAAAGTTGCCTCTATTAACAATAATGCTTATTGTAATTGACTCACTGTCTTTTATGTATCGTTGTAAATGCCAACCAAGGGATTTCAGGTTAGTCAGACAAAACAGTTTTCAAAAACTAAGAAATAATACAGAGGCTGGTATTGTGAAATAGGTGGCCTTTTTAGACTTTACAATCTTTTGGAAAATTAAATTTAATAATTAATACCTCAACGCTCCTGTGATACCAGACAGGAACCTTGGCACAGTAGATTCCCGTTTCAAAACTGTTGTGACTGCAGACCCAGTCATTGGCAGTTTGACAAGCAATAAACCACCTTCTCCTCCATGGCCAAAAGCCAGGGCAAACACAGCTTCACCATTATCACGTAATAAGGATGCACAAGTGTGAGCAACACCTGTAGCTGAAAAAAATCATACATATTAACTTTTGATCATCTTATTATGCACCTACAGTCAGACATATTACTTGGTATGCAGATAAGATAACATTGATTAATTGATTGATCAGACTTGCCAATTTAAAAGATGTGTAAATCATTAGGTTTATAAACGATTCTTGGCATAAACTTTATTCCAAAACAGAAATATTATAAAAAAAAATGCAAATAGTCTATTGTTGATTTTATTGCAGACTAACGACCCGCCCCTGCATATATCATACATATAAACCTTCCTTAAGAGTCACTATTAGTTAAAAAAACCGCATCTACATCCGTTGCATAGTTTTAAAGATCTAAGCATACATAGGGATGGACGGATAGACGGCGGAGAGCAACTTTGTTTTAGACTATGTAGTGGTAATCCATGAACTCTATGGACATTAACATCTCATTGGAACATTGTATTGTAGTAAACACTTCAGGATGTATTCTTAATGGAAAAAATACTTATTAATACTTACTTGCATTAGAATACTGATTGAGAATGCAATAGTTGTTTGGGTTATTTACAGAAGTTGTATCATGAAATATTGATGGTGAGGAACTGCTCAGAGATCCAAATGAAGACTGAAATAAGACAAAAACAAATTAGGAAAAGGAGAATCAAAAGACAGTGATATAGTTCAGTTTCATCATCATACTTAATGCTGAGTCAGTCAATACAGAATGAGTTTCAATAATACATTTTACAGAAATATGATAAAAATAAAGAAAGTGCAATTTAAGTCCCTAGATTCATTATGTACTGTTGAAATAAGTAAGTTAACTTCTTCAATTAAATTATAATGCTTAAATTATAATAGTTAAAAATAACAAATTATAAATGTTACACACTGCATATAAATGTTTTACCTTTTTATCTAAGGTTCCAGGATGGGGAAATATGAGTCTGTGTACAGAAGAAACAGTGGCAGCCAGTATAACTACATCTCGAGAGGCACTTCTCTCGTACACAGTAATGTTGCTCAAAGGAGGAGTGCCTGGAGCTACTTTACACCGCAAATTGCAAGATGTTAGATTAATGTCTAGAGACGCCTCAGACAACTCTATTGCATCTGATGTTGTTTGCCTGTAAATTAGAGATAGATATGACAAAATCTTGTTTTGTTCTGCAAAGTAACTGTCTATCAAGTTAGAAATTAATATAAACGTACCAATAGATAAATCTATTACGAGTACAAATCTTCTTGGAATCTTTGTACCAGTAGCCACCAGCTTTCTGTGGCAATTTGATGTCTTGCAAAGTGCTGTGAGTTCCGCCTAAAAATAAAACCGAAATAAATTTAAAGTAATGAGACTAGCAAAATTCACTTTAAACACCATACAGAACGTTGTTTACCTGTGTTCAACACAATTTCTTTCCATTTTTCAGGTAAATTATAGTTTGGAGTAATTTCCTTGAAGATAACTGGCATTGCCTCCAAGAACTCCATGATAAACGAGTAATTATAGCACAACAGAACTTTGACTGATTAGGTACTAAGGATTATAGAATTATATATTAAATTATTGGGTTAAATTGATAGATTTCCCTTCTTGGCGGTCAATTGTTTAGGTTATAACGGAAAGCAAGCGGTAAGTACAAACAACCAAAATCATGTGTCAGCTGTCAGTCAGATAAACTGACAGATAATCAACACAGTTACATTCTACTAAGAACAGCGCTCAAATTCTCTAGACTCACAGTCACGCTATGGCTGATGCGAAATACCGATGAAACCAAACATTGATAAACCATGGGCTTTGATTGGCACCGTTATCCCGAATCCAAAGGCGTAAAGATTTATTATATCATCGAGTAGCAGCACTACGCCAGACGGCTGGATGGTGTATAGGATACCTTTAAATTTGACAGCATTGCAGCTTTCATTTTATCGATATCTAGTTTGACACTCTCAGCATGCGTGACGTAAATGGTCATCACTAGTAGTGAGTTCGTGAGCGTTTTTGCATCAATTTTTTTTCCTCAATCTAATACGACTTCATATTTTTAAAGATTTGTATAAAATTTCAAAGCTGAATGAATATTACAACATTTTTATAACAATTTAAAAGTGCTGACATCAAACGATGGTTATTCTCTTTTCAGAAAATAATCAAAAGGTAAATTTGTGTTCGCATCGATTTTTTATTTTTATATTTTCGAAAATATTTCATAAAAACTGGTGGTGCTTACTCGCTTTATTAATTAATTACTTATGCATTGTCTATCTAGTTCTGTACAATTTAATTTTGACCTATTAACTGAAAATTACCTAACCCTAAGCCGTTATAAAGCTATCGATGTTTTCAGCATACGCAAACCGTAGAATTATTATCCTAGAATCTTGTAATACGCACACGAATGTGTAAAAATTTTTAACTAAAACCATAACATATTTACTGTCACACTAAGCTCTATTACCAGCATAGAATCAAATTAACTGATGTTAGAATTGCTTAATATTAATGGAATAATATTTAAACAGCAAGAGAACAGAGTAACAATTACTTTAATATTTTATTTTACTTCCATTATTTATATATATATACATATATAGTGATGTTTTTTCTTTAAGTCTTACAAATATAATCGTTGAAAGTGATTATTACATTGGGTATTTGCATACTTACCTACTATAGTGCTATAATTTAGAAGAATCTAATATGATGATCACTATACAAATAATGGATTTTATGAAACCCATGTTTACACATTGCACCCAAATATCTAATAAAAATCTTATATGAAGTTACCATAGAGTATATACCATGATGCATATGTGATTGTAGGCGCTAAGGTTTTAATAAGCCCTATTCTAGCAACCATGCCCTTTCGTATGACATGCAAAACGGAGGTAGTTTGAAAAAAAAATTATTATAATATTGTGTAGTCATCAAGATTAAGATTGTGAGTGTTTACCAAATATCAGATTGAGTAATTCCAAGGAAGTGGGAAAAATCTACTGATTAAATATGACCCAAACAAACAGAATAACATCAATAAACTCAAAAAGCCAATTTATCTACTTAGGATTTAGCCCGAAACCTACTTAGTAGTGTTGTTCGGTTCAGTAATATATTTTATATCCCATATTCATTTTATTTTTGTGAAATCTAAAATTTGTCCTATGAAGTTCCATTAGATTGCATTCTGCATTTATTTTGATAAAGTGCCAGATATATGCTTAATTTATATGACTTTTTGTATAATGCCAGTAAAATATAAAATTTATATGCACAGTAGCGCGGTGGCGGGTTGTGAGCACGGCGCGGGAGGCGCAGGGTCGGGTGGCGGCCGACCGGCGGCAGACACTATTCGCCGCGTTAAGGTGAAGATGTCATCAGTGTCGGCGCAGGGCGTCGTGGAGCGCGCCTCCGCAGAACTGTCGCGTCGCATCACGGGCCTGGGGCTGCGCGGTCGCAAGCGATCCCCCGGTGTAGTAGAGCGCGTCGCTAACGCTCTGTGCGGGCCAGCGACAGCCGCAGCAGCCGCGCCCAGGGTACCGCGTCGCCGCAGACCCTCACCCAGGCCTCTATCTTGGAATCAATTTGTATTAGAAGAAAGATTTTTGGAAAAGTTTTTTCTATATTTCAATGCCAATGACAGAAGATCACTAGCACAAGTGTGCACGAGATGGCGTGATATACTGTACTCCTCGCCTCGCTGGTGGACTGGTCTCGTCGCAGTCCTCGACTGCCGGGAGTTGCGCTCAGCTACAGGGTGTTGTATGCAGAGGTTCTACAATTCTCTAGTCAGAAGGGGTATTCGTGGAATAGTATTAGTTTCAGCTTCTGATGACGATATAAATGAATTTATCAGGCAATTTCCTTTGTCCGCCCATCATATTCATGCTATTGGTTTAAAAGGATGTACAATAACTGACAGGGGGTTGGAAGCTGTTCTTGATCACCTTCAGGTAAGTGGCTTACCTTGTTAGTGTGGGATTTATGCTTAAATAGTACCATAAGATTTATTAGTTACAATAGTGGTCTACTACTGCTTGCTTACTCATACTGTATATTTATAAAAAACTTGTCCAATCTGATTTTCTATGGAACATCGAAAGTTTTATTGTATTATTATATATGCTCTCAATATCTTAGAGTATGTTCGCGAATCGGACACAGTTTATAATTATCAATCATTGATTTCATTGAAGACAAAACAATACTACTTTTCAAAACAACTCAAATATTGCATGCTAACTTTGATCAGGATTACATCACTATTTGAAAGAAAATTAGTAGATATAGCCAAATAATTGAATTCATGTTTTTAGGTTCTGTTTGAGCTAGAACTAACTGGATGCAATGAAATAACTGAGGCTGGTCTGTGGGCATGTCTAACTCCACGAATTGTCTCTCTCACGCTTACTGATTGCATTAACATTGCTGATGAAGCTGTAAGTATATTATTCCATAAAATTATTTCATTGGTCATTCGCATTAAACAGAACAATGGCAAATTAAATCCAAGTGCATATTTTTATATGTGACATTGAAGCTTGATCATTTGACCAATAAAATGAAAGCAATCAATTCTGTTCTTGTATGTTGCTAAAGAGATCTAAGCACCGTATTGTCACTGTATTATGTTGTTGAATAATTAATTTGAATATGTGCACTTCTAACAACCATTTCAACTAGATAGTTTTAAACCACAATAGAGGCTCATGATCATGCAGAAACTAGTCGAGTGCCCTCTAACTTAACTCAATACCATACATTTCTCACCCATGGTTGTTTCTTAACCATATTATTTTTTTTTACTCTTTTAAGTATCTCATCACCACGCGAATCTATTTCTATATTTCAGGTCGGAGCAGTAGCCCAACTGCTGCCGTCGCTATACGAGTTTTCTCTGCAAGCCTATCACGTGACAGACGCTGCTCTAGGGTACTTCTCGCCCAAGCAGAGTGCGTCACTCAGTGTTCTTCGTCTGCACAGCTGTTGGGAGCTAACTAATCATGGCGTCGTTAATATTGGTAAAAACTATTTTTTTTATGACTGAAGTAGTACCACGGCCTTACAGAAAACCGACACACACCCACATATCTACCTCGTGTGTTCATAAGTTTTGAGACAAACTTTTTGCTTATAAAAATAAAATAAAAATTACTGGCTGCTGTATATTTCTTTTTCTAATTTTGAATTTGGAATGTTAACTTTTAATATCTATGATTTCGGATTATTTTATTTAAATTTTCTCGTAATGGAGGGAACAAAAGAATTACGTGCGACCGTCATTTCATTATTTAAGGTGGGAAGAAAACCTATGGACATTTTCCGAGAACTGAAAAGTTTTGGTGTGAGCCGTAACTTCGTGTATTACACTATTAAACGATACCAGGAGACAAGTTCTTTACATGATCGGCAAAGAAGTGGTCGTCCACGCTCTGTGAGGACGCCTGCGAACATTAAAATCATCCGAGAGCGACTTCGCCGAAATCCATGTCGCACTCAGAAGAAACTCGCTCTGCAGACCAATATTTCGCGCGTTTCAGTCAACAGAATACTGAAATATGATCTCAAGGTTAAGGCGTATAGCCGTAGAAAAGTACACTTTTTAAACGATCGCCTTCGTCAATTGCGACGCGAACGTTGTCCAATACTGCTTAGGAGACACGATGCGAGGAAGATACTCTTCACCGACGAGAAAATCTTTACCGTCGAAGAAAAGTTCAATCGACAAAACAATAAAGTGTATGCCAAAAGTAGCAAGGATGTCCCACCTTCAGCACGGAATGTATCGCGTACTCATCATCCGGCTAGTGTCATGGTATGGTGGGGAGTTTCGTACGAAGGTGTCACTCAGCTTCATTTCTGCCAACAAGGCGTCAAGGTGAAAGCCAAAAATTATCAAAGTGACATTCTAGAGACTGTTGTGAAACCTCTGTCTAATACCCTATTCCATAACAAGTATTGGGTTTTCCAGCAAGACTCGGCGCCATCCCATAAGGCTAAAACCACCCAACCTTGGCTGAAGGAAAATGTGCCGGCCTTCATTGCGGCGAACGAATGGCCCTCCTCCAGCCCCGACCTCAACCCGCTGGATTATTCTCTATGGACCGAATTAGAGCTCAGAGCCTGCCGAAAGTCCCACCCAAACTTTGAGTCACAAGCGAGCTCTTGTCCGAGAAGCGAAGCGAATTCCTCTGGAAAAGATTCGTGCCGCCATTGATGACTGGCCAAATCGTCTAAGGGCATGTATTAAAAACAGGGGTGGTCATTTTGAATAATAATTATATTTAATTTTTACTTACTATCTACTTAATTTTTGTTATTGTTTTTATAAACATAAGTTTATTATTTAAAAAGATATGCAACTTTTAATTTGTCTCAAAACTTATGAACACACGAGGTACTATATGAGAGAAAATACTACAGGGGCACGTTTTATTTTCATAAGAAAAAATCGCCGATTTCTAACCAATCAATACTAATAACAGTTATTTTTTTATTTTCAATTTTGACGTTTTATTTCTTATTAGTTTTTGGTTTTTTGAAGTCGGTTTTTTAAACGCAGTTTTATTTTATTATTTCATCATTTTCAGTGTAAAGCTACATAGACCCGTTTTGTCACTTATAATCTATATAGGTGCAAAGTTCTAATTAATACAAATTACACAAGCCCAAACAAAAGTAGTTACTATAAACTGTTGAAGAGTTCCCTTAACAATTACACTTCTTCATCATCAGACCTTTAATGACAGTACCACTCTATCTAGGTGTAAAGACCTCATCAATACAAATTAATGAAGCCCAAACACAAGGTGGTTAATATAAACCGTTGAGGAGTTCTCTCGATTGTCTGTCGGCTCCAACATCAAGTCTACTCCAGACCCTTATCAAAATGTAGTGTTTAAAAATCCTAATTGAAAAACATAATAGACGCATTACTCGCCCCTAGAATTTTCGAAAGTTACCCTCGGTTTCCCTAGAATGCCATCATCAGATCCTGACCTCATGGAAAACGGAACATCTCGGGAGTATACCCTTTCAAACAAAACAATAATTTTGGAAATCGGTTCACAAATGGCAGAGTAATTGGCGAACAAACAAAAAAACGATCAGCCGAACATAGTACCTCCTCCTTTTTTTGAAGTCGATAAAAACAACAGCAAATTGTAGTAGATAAAAACAAAATAAAAAAAAAACAATTTTTTCGTGTTTTATCGAATGAAAATGTCGTACAATAGTGTGGTGTTCTATTTTAAGACCGACAATGGGCGCCCAATTATTTCAAGTTGATCCCGCCCGACTCGCATGTGAATTAGGGTCAAGGGCCTTAACCATGTTAGCTTGCCTAAAGGACCCTTAGAAGGGTTTGCCAGAGCTTTAGTATCAGTATCTAGTAATATTATACTTAGGTAAATGTGACATTTCCCTGTAAATTCAAGTTACGTTTACTTTTACTTGCAGTTAGATATTTTCAATTCGGTAAACAATAGTTATCCAAATTGATTATTAAATTATGTGTGATTTATCCAGTGCACTCCCTACCGAACCTGACGGTATTGTCACTGAGCGGGTGCAGCAAGGTGACGGACGAGGGCGTCGAGCTGTTGGCTGAGAATCTCCCGCGCCTGCGCAGCCTTGACCTCAGCTGGTGCCCACGCGTCACTGACAATGCACTCGAGTACATCGCTTGTGATCTCAATCATCTTGAAGAACTTACGTTGGACAGGTAACTATAAGTATTTCTACAGTTAATTATTGTAATGATATGTCATATCTCTAGGTGAGGCGGGTTTATTATAGTCCAGTCAAAGACTTTTTCAATCTACACTGGACTGTACGGTTACAGTTTCATTTGGGTCTCATAATGCAGCCCTTCAAAGCATTACATCCTTATAAGCAAATATTGTACTTATGTTGCTTATCATATTATTATCATATCATATATAGTAGTTAGTTAATTTACAAATTAAACATATTCCAACATTACGTGTAGGTGTGTACATATAACGGATATCGGCGTGGGCTACATCAGTACGATGCAGTCCCTAGTGGCACTGTTCCTGCGTTGGTGCTCACAGGTGCGCGACTTCGGAGTCCAGCACCTCTGTGGCATGCGCTCACTGCAACTCTTGTCTCTAGCTGGTAAGTGTAATAAGCTATTTTTCTGATACCAACTAGGTGGGTAGGCCTCTGCCTGGGCATGCCTGCAGTAATAATAATATGCATTAAGAGCCTTTAGTATATACAAACCTGAGACCCATTGCTTGCCAGTCGTGCTTACGACCTTACCAATGAGTCAGTTTTAGACACACGAATAATAAAGTATTTGTTTTTGCTTCTAGGATGTCCACTACTGACATCGGGTGGTTTGTCAAGCCTGATACAACTGCGACAGCTCCGTGAGCTCGAGCTGACGAACTGCCCCGGCGCCTCGCCCGAACTCTTCGACTATCTCCACGAACATTTACCAAGATGCCTAATTATCGAGTAAGGTACAATAGTCCTTATGCTCTTATACATAAACCGCATTTTGTCCGACCCGCGATACTAAGTACTATTAAGTACATAATTTGATTTGTTCTTACTTAGCTACACAGTAACTAGTTGTTTGCACCACACGTTAATGTGCAATACTTTTTTTAGACATATTTACTAATTCATTGTTCCCTTTCCAATTTTGTAAGCACCATGTAAGTACCTATTGTTGTTAAAAGAAGTACATTGAAGATTCCTAAATAGAATAGGAAATGTGAGGAGTTTTGCAGACTTATGAAAATATGTGGTGTATTTTTGTTAGTACAATATTAACTTATTCAATGATTTTATATACAGGCTATGTGGGTACGTAGATAGTCGGGTGGTCAATTCGGGCGTAGAATAAGAAATACATAAAAATGTCTTCACGCTTCTAGTCCTAGTTTCAAGAAATTATTAACTAATCCCATCCCACCAATTCTATTGACATGTTCCAAAAATTATCATTTTCGTAATGAATTTTGAATAGTTTAAACCGCTTCTATGTAGTATTATTATTACACACTTTTCCATGCACTGTTAAGTTGTGACCTTAACTTTTTTTTAATACATTCCCTTATAGATTTCGTGGCCTTTACGATCTATCTTATTCCTAAACAATTGCTCAAGTTGTGTGATGTCTTGTCGAATTATCTAAGGAAACGTATTTGATGTCGCTATTCATAACTTTGTGACGTACTTTCTCTTTGTCACCAAGTTGGGATCAAAGATCGTAAAACCATTTTTGATTTACTGAAGCTTTACCGAGAATAAAGCCTATTTTTACAAACAAATTGATGAGTCTTAAGATATTATTAAAAGTAATACAATGACACAAGTGTTTCAAACAGAAACATTAGTGTTAGGATTGGGAAGAGTGCTTCACAGAATATATTTCATTATTTGTTACAAGTAATAGGTATAGTTAAGAAATCTTAATTATGTTCCCGATTAACTTTTTAATACCTCTATGTAGATACACTACTATAATGTTATAGTACCAAAATCCAATGATTTAAAAATCCTTAAAAATGTAATATGAAAATTATGAAATTTTAAATAGTATAGTAAGGAAAGGTGTTTATTAGATAATTTGTGTGATTTTATGTATAGTGTAATGATTTGAAATCAAATCACATGATTTGGTGATGTCCATTAGTTAAATGTAATTGATAGATTGCTGATAAGAATTAACATTAATTTTTTATATTATTTTGAGGGCAGTTATCAGATATTTGATATTAATTGTGTAAATAAATTACCCGCAATGCACATTTATTAAAATGAGTAAATAAAATACCCCGGTATTAATTATATCATATATTGATATTGTGTCCCTTTTCATTTCTTGTAAATACGGATTACTTGTTAAGTCTGATTAATTCAATTACTTATTTTCTCTTCTGTGCATTTTTGTTGTTGTGTGTTTTCAAAACAATAATGTAAACTATTTATTATGTCACTTCCATCTATCTCTCAATACTCTAGTCATTCTTTTTATATTTTAATTCCTTTCTACTTATTTATTAACGACACTTAGAATAATTATAGATTATAGTTATTTACATTAAAAGTGTGATGTTTTAGGAGAATAGTGTAGTACAGAAATACCATATAATCACATACAAAGTTTAATATTTTAACTTTTACTGTTGTTATAACTATATATTAACATTTAGGCTGTTAATTGCAATTAGCATACCCTGGCAGTTCATGTTCAGATGAATTTAGAAATATGTATGTATGACATTTGATTCAATGACATTGTACTGTAATGTTTGTTTTTACATAGTTATATTTTATAATTATTTGCAGAGTTGGTGAGAGAATGTATCTACACTACTCGTATACAAATGTACATATTTGTGAATGTGGTATTTTTTGTTTTTATTTTGTAATGGACATTGACCGCAGCCCCAGAGTTCTTGAGGTATCTTTGAAAATAAATAATACACTGCCTCGATTCCCAACTTTGTATTGGTTAACTACACGAATATTTTACAGACTACAAAGGCAGATTTTATAAACATATACTAATTTAGCTGCACTATTATCTATCACTCATTCATAATTTTATAAATTGAAATTAATATCTTGGTGACAGTTGTTGTAACGTGCAGCGGTCTTTGTCCGTCAATCAAATACATAGTGAGTTGTACCGAATAAATACAGCTATTTTAATACCGTCCGAACTAATATTAATGTTTAATTATACTAACGCACCGCAAAAGTTGATTTTCTGTACCTAAAGTAATATTAAGTACAGTCAGCATTAAATTATAATAATACACAAACTAGCTGACTCTCGCGTAAGCTACTTCTTTGCAACCGTTTTAAACGGTAAAATATATTCGTATATTTCTGTAAGCTATATTTTATATTTTGAATAAAAGAGAGTTGAATATTTTTGCAAGTACTTAATGCTGATGGTACTATAATTCTGGTACAAAGTGTAAAAGATATGAGTGTTTAGTAGATAAATCCTACTATGATAACATTTCAACTTCATTGAGCTTTTTGAACGTTGACTCATTAATAATTGCTTAAAAATTTTGCGTTTCATCGTGATAGAAAGATAAGGTATGTAGGAAAAGGGATTTGTGAGTAGAGTAGTGGAAATTGTAGCATAGAGAAGTACTAGTCGGATACTTGTAATTGGAAACGATCTCTATTTAAAGAAAGTATTAGGAAGGTAACAGATCTCCTGAATGTAGGCTTTAATTTCTTAAGTTCTTAGTAAGATACATAAAGTTTGGGCCCAAGAAACGGCCGTAATGAGTGCAGCTTACATTGCATCTATGAAATACGTGAAATCCATACCCTGTTTCTTTGGACCTAATTAGATGACGGCCTTGATTTTATGTATTCACTGTACCAATTGTAAGTTAGTAATTAATATTTGAATTAAGTATTCCGCAATGATTTATGTCAAAGAATAGGGGCAATATTTTAAAGCAATTAATAAATAAGACAACGTCCATAGTAAGAATGGAATGTTTCATATTATTGTGTAAGTAGGAGTACTATTGTAATGATTTGAAGTTGCCTTCATTCTTAGTAATATAGCACCTACGGCGATGTTGCTGAATTTGTCAATTTTCATGCAGTAATATAAATAAAATGAAAGCAATAAATTCCTCGACATGATAACGTCGTCATTATATTATACAGGATGTTTGGAAAATATGGTTTTTCATAGAGCTTCATATATGCCAAGCACGCAATACGGACAAAAGTAGAGAATACAACATTAAACTTGTGACGAATAAAAATGATTGTATTTATTTACCAAACATTCAGTATTTTGCAATGAATAAAAGCGTATATAGATTATGAATGTACATTAAAGTTAGACTAAGGTAATGTCTATGTACATACATTTATAATAGATGCAGTCGTTATAGTGTTTGGGTTTACTTGGGAATAAGTTGATCAGTCAGTAAGTGACATTGCTGTATCTAGTGCAACACAAACTCTGTAGCGTATAAACTACGAGCTACAGTACAAGTACAGGGAGCACACTCCCTAAATTCAGGTTTTAATGTTCAAATATTTCTTGTACCTTGATTTTAATTATTTTATAAATCATTCATTGTGTAAATCTGTATGTTGTATATAAAATAATTATTAAAGATGGGTAATAAGTCTATTATATGGAATAATGAAGTTTAATGTTGTTAAAAGATCTGACTTCTGCATTATAAAAGGTTGTAATTAAAATGATATGTATATTATGTACAAGCAATAGATAAAGGTCTATTTAACGTAACTCGTAATGTTAATGTTTGAAGAGGTGACTTGACTTCTAATCTTAGCTACTTGAAACTAGTTTACACAATAGTCTTACAGTGCGCAATAATAATCACTTTGTGTGACTTAAAACGAATTATTACTAGTTAATATGGTTTAAAATTTCAACAAAAATATAATATAGACTATGTATAATTCGAAATGTTATATGCGCACATGCAATGCTTCGTGGTAAACAACAGACTGTCTTATTTGTACTGTAACACAACTGGACAGCTTCGATTCTACCAATGTGTCTGTGTCGTAATAAAAAGACGGTGTGTTACATATTGTTCGTACCCTATGTTCTCGTGTACCTACCTTTTAGATTGTGTTGTGATAATGCACCTGCTAGCTATTCAATTGGCTCCACTATATAACATTTGTATTTTAGTATAATATCACTTTTCGTAATTACGATTTGTACAATACTCAGTGAGATGTTATAGTGCAATATAGATGTACTGTTTTATAAAAGTTTTTCATTTTATAACAATCCTATTTAAGTACTACTCCTATAAAAATAAAATATTTAAATAGTACCTTCTTTTCGTTCCTCAAGTTACAGATAAAAATAAGTCGCGATACAATTAAAAGATAAAATATATTTTGTACGATTTATTGCGATAACACAGTCTTACAAAACAAATCAGTGATGACAACAAATGCGACACTAATGGTAACTTTAAATTGTTATAGCCCCAAAATCACAATTTTGACTAAGCTTGCATGTCAACAAATAAATAATCAGGAATGATTTCAATACTCATTATTTTACTATTCACAAAAGCAACAATTTTAGGTACTCAAGGCAAATTAAAATACTTAAAACAAATCCTACTTAATTCTTACGTAAATTGTTAGAAGTAAAATAATGTGCATTAAAATATCTTTGAAAATAGATTACATTTCATAAAACGTAATTTATAAATATGAAAAAATTGCACAAACTTTTATTCAAGTAGTGAATTACATCACTACAGAACTGAAACTAAACAAAAATGCACTCAGCACCAGATGTAAAACACTCGACATGTTCAACAAAAATTAAATAATATTTATACACATTTACAAAATATAATGTACGGAAACAGCCCGAAGCTCTTGCTACCGGGCGAAAAATAAGTTTCAAAGAAAACATAAACATTTCATGAGGTGATTTACACCAGTGTTAGAAGCCTCTTTAATATATTTTAAAGAAACCAATAGGCCCTTTATTTAGTAAGGCTAAATATGTATAACTTTAATTATTTTGTAATAAAAAACAAGTACATGCAAGAATGGCTTATTTAGTAATAATATTGAGTTTTAACCACTATAATATGCACTACAACTCTTACCAAAATTGGTTCATAGCAAATCTACACAGCTTTAATTTGCAGTTACGATAAAAATATTAATTTCTGAAACAACAATTAAAACAACTTTTAAACTGTCTGCCTGACTGGTTACTTCAAACTTTAATAAAACTACAGTTGAACTATCAATTTAGCAACAATTCCCAATAACTCGAACCAATCTTATAACACAGACAATTAGCAAATTGTAATTCATAGCTAGCTACAGTAGAATCGTGCACACAGAAACTTTGAGCCATTTTTAATAATGTAAATTTTCGTAATTGGAAATAAATAATGCAAGATGCAACATTTCTGTAGATTTCGTTGTAGTTTTCAGTCTTGTGTCATTTGGTCCTGAAAATAATTTACTATTGATAATATAACAAAAATAGTATATTTCGGCGGCAGATTATTTTTACTCTACATCATAGCTCAGAATCGGTAAGTTACTGGGGATGTACCGGTTGTGGTCAATGATAAGGTTGCAGGTACGCAGTGGTGGAAGCGAGGTCACGACGCAACCAGGCTGCGTTGAGGCGCACGGTCTCGAGTGCTTGCTGCACCGACCGCTCCGTGCCGGGAGACTGATGAGTGCGGAAGAACTGCTCGATCTCTTGCGCACTGGTTTCAGAGGCGAAGTTTTCCGTGGTAGACTTCACCAATCGAGCAAGTAAGAAGCCACCCTGTAATTATGAAAATTGTTTGTAATAATAAAGATGGGACTTCCAATTGTTTTTACTGTGGTGTGAATTACATATCTCCTTGGGACTTCAAAAAATTTAAGTTACCTGGTATCTATCCATAAATTGCTGCCAATGGTCCTTGAAGAACTCCCAAGCAAGATCGCGACCATTTTTACTGACTGCCACAGAAACTATGACGAAAACTGTATCTTGAGACCTCACTTCATCCTGTAGTGATAATAACACGAAATTAAGAACATTGTTTAAGGTTCAGGTGCTTTTGTTTATCTAACCACCATTTATTCAATTTGTTTACCGAGATGGCAAAGTCGAGAACTTTCTTCAGCAGCGTGGGATCATTGACCGCACCGAGCGCACGACTAATGCGGTCCTTCTCCTCGTGCAAGTCGGCGGCGCGGTAGAGCTCCAGGAAGCGCTGGAAGGTGGCCTCGTCCGCGTCCGCCAACACCGCGCGGTAGCACGCCGAGCGCAAGTCCGCTGGCAGAGTGCACGCACCCGATATGTGCTTCTCGAAGCTATACCAAATTATTAATTTCAATAAATAATGTATTCAAAAACAATAATAAATAAGGTTTCAAATCAGAATTGAATACACGAAGAAATATTTTGGAAAAATGGGTACAAAGTAAGTACGCAAAAGATACTTAAGTTATGAGAAATTGACTACTCACTAAGTATAAAAACTAAGAAAACTTGATATACATTAAATGAAATTACCGGCTCTTTGCTTCTTTAATAGTTTCAGGGTCTTCAAAACTGATCATTTTGTTGAGGACCAAACTTCGGAGCAATGTGTCGAGATGGCTTTCTTTTTCCTCGGCATCCCAACCCAGGCGTCGAGTTATATTCGAGAATAGCTTGCGGCCGTAGTTCTTCAAGGGCTTGTCAAGTGGCGTATGTGAGAATAAGGCACTCAGTTTCGATAAGCAGTTGGAAATCGAAGACCACACAGTGAAGTTTGTTTCATTAGTAAAGGCTTCAATAAGTTTCAGAGACTGAAAAAAAAAACAAACATTTAGACTTTAAATATACATCAAAATAAACTTTTAAAATCATAATATTTTTATTACCTCTGCGGTTTGCGTATGGCCAGCCTGCACTAAGGCGAAGCAATCATCCAGTAGACCAAGGCGATCAAGTGGTGGTAATGATCCGTCGCGGACGGCTGTCACCAACTGCGCCAGCATTGAGGCTGGGTAACGAGTTCGGTAATATCCCACCTGGAGATAAATAATATTATTAAGTTATTATTTCTCATTTTCTTTTAGCTACAACATTATTACTTTACTTTTAATACTTACTGTACCAGGATTAAGCTTAACCCAAGAAGTCTCTGCTACATCCTTCAAAATAACTTCTTGCTGTCTCTTTTCCAACACAGTAGATAATGCTACCTGAAATGTAAACAAAATGTGACAAATAAGACTTTTTTTATATTGTATTCAAGTAACTTTAACACATTGTACCCGTTCTCGTGGGATTTCCGAGTTAAAAACTCTCAGACCCTTTCTCAAGTCCTATCCTAGTTAATCAAATTATCCAAGTCCTATTTAAGCGGACGACTTCATCATAGTAGTACCAATCCTTAATTTCAGTTCAATCGGTAGGAAATCTAACAAGATTTATACATATGCCCCCTATTTTATTCCCCTTTTTTTTGGGGGAGAAAATCATCCAATGACTTCTCCCGCCCGGGTGAGACGAGAGGGAGTGTCAGACTCTTACTGATTAAAAACCACCCCGTTCCTACTCCTGCATTTCGCGCCGGAGCCCTGGCAACCCGTCAAGTCTTTCGCGGCTCCGTTATTTTATCCCCTTAGGGAATTTCTACGTCATAACAGTTGCAAACCTCACTTCCAGGAACAAAAAATACTCACATCACCTTGTATTCATATTTTGAAATCTGCAAATTTGTTCGTAAATATCTGAATTCTACTCCACTAGAGAAGACACACAGTGTAAGACATAAAAAAAGACTAAAGCTACCAACATAATAACATAGCATAACATCACGCCTATTATTCCCGAAGGGGTAGGCAGAGGTGCATATTACGGCACTTAATGCCACTGTACAATGTAACACCCACTATTCACTATTTATGTTATGAGTCCCATGTAATAGGGGGTGAGCCTATCTCCATCTACCTATATCTACCAACATCACAATTGATAAAAATACTCTTCTGGACCTCTAGTCATGTCTAAAGTCTAAGTTACCTCAAGAGATAAAAAATGAAGATAAATATAATAGGATTTATGATGAAATTAAACAATTTCTACTAAATAAAGCCTATCCCAGTATTGAAGACTATTTTAAAGAAAGATCGTTATAATGAACAGATATTTATAGAAGCACACAGAAGTGTTTAATACAATACTTTGTCTACAGGCCACAAGTACACATGTTTAAAAGATGATTTATTTAGTTGATTTAATTTTTGATGTTGATTGCTCGGCTCCTATTGGTCGTAGCGAGATGTTTTATAGCCTATAGCCTTCCTCGATAAATGGACTATCCAAAACAAAAAGAATTATTCAATTCGAATCAGCGCGTTCTTAATTAGCGTCTATTAACTCGTTGAGTACCGTCATTATAGACACAATTAAAGAACAATAGGTTGAGGTCACCGGTGACCGCTCGGTGTTTGACAGTTTAATTGGTAATCTTAAACAAACAAACTTCAGCTTTATAATATTAGTATTTTATTTTCATCTTTTATTATGACCTCAGTTGTTTTATTTTGATTGTAATAATTTCATTTTGACTTTTATTGATTAATTTAAATGCGATTATATATAATTATGTAACATGTTGATTACAAGATATTCGATGATAAAATGTCAACTTTATTCATAAAAAAGTTAACTTCATTTTAACAAATTTTGGTGTGTCCTTATGGGATACGGGGTCCATAAATATAACTTAGCTATAAGCATATTGTAACACCTTATTCACTTTATGGTATGCAAATAAATGAATATAATATGAATATAATACAATACAAAACATACACATATCAAAATACTTTTACATTTTTGTCTGTCTGTCTGTTTGTACTAGCTAATCACTGAAATGGCTGGACCGATTTTACAAGACTTTTATTGACAGGTAGCTGATTTACGAAGGAGTAACATAGGCTACTTATATTTTGGAAAACTGAAACAAAAACAAGTTATGTTCCAAAATTAGTATTCTATGCGGGCAAAGACACGGGGAACAGTTAGTTGCTCTATAAAAAAATGTAATATATAACTTTTATATTTATTATGTTTTTAAGTAACTAAGTTGGTTATTATCAACTATGTAAATAGGTCAATGTTAAATAGATGAGTAATCTAATCATTGATTGCATCTGCTATCTATAAAATGTTATCAATAAAGGCTTTTGTGTTATGTTATTGTTATTTAAAATTCTTACCTTGGAAGGTTGCTCCTGTGTTGAAATTGTAACAGGCACCATCCACAGTGTATCCCCACCTTGACTACCGTCAGCACAGAACTTCTGCTGTGTCAGCTTTAGAACTCTGTCAGAGCCTATTTGTTCCGAGCTCACCTAAAATGTAGCATTACTTAGTATGATACTTAGATTTTATTTTTACCATTCTCTTTAACCTGTGGTAGCCAGAACACAGATCTATGTGAGACACAATGTGTTTTTTATAGTGTCTTATATACAGCATTCAGGATGTTAATAAAATATTACTGACCTCAACTACAGGGAATCCCATCTGTTTGGTCCATGTGGACATAACAGCTCCAACAGGTTTATTGGAAGCCTCTTCCAAAGCAGCCCATAAATCCTCTGTGAATGTATTTTTGTACTGAAAGTTTAAAGTTTGTGGTCAATTATTTATATGACAATAACTGCTGAAATAAACTTCTATTGAGGTTTCTATACTATTATCTTACAAGATTCTGGGAAAAGAATTGGAAAGATCAATATTAAATAAGATAATAATTAGGTGGCAAACACTGAACATATTACAATTACAACAGTCATAAGTTTAATTTTAGTTTATATAATGGTTGTAAAAGTGTACAGTGTAATGAGCACAATCAGTATAATCTTATTACAGACACAATAGTATGTTTCATATTGTTCACAACATAATTTTCTTATCAGAATTGCTGTAAGTACAATTATGACAGGATCCACATTTTATGTATTTAGTATTGAAATACATATAAGAAATGATATCACTTTTACATTACTTTTCTCACTAACAGGCAGGTTTAAAAAGTATCTACATATACTTAGATTTTATTGGTAACCTTAGTTGACAAGACAAAAATGTAAATAATTTACCTGATGTCTTGTGAGATAAATGTTCATGCCTTTACGGAAGTCATCATCCCCAATGTATTTATGAAGCATGCGGATTACAGATGCACCCTTGTTGTATGATATGTCATCAAATATTTCATCAATTTCTGATGGGTGCCCTACAGGAACTTCTATGGGATGGGAGTTTTTCAAACAATCCAATTCTAATGCTCTGAAATTATGGAAGTAAATTGAAATCAATATGTCATAACATTTATCATAAATAATGAATTTGCTGTGGGTGATTAAACAAATTCTATTGTTCTCTTGTGTTTGCAGGGTGAATGACTTTACAGTTTACAAAGCTGGCAACCTTCCAAACACCAACTGATAAACATTCTCACACAGAAATGATAAAGCCTTAACAAGTAAATTGTTTGTTCATTAGGTAGGTATATACAAATTTTTACTCTATTTATTAACTACATTAGAATAATGAATTACTTTCATTTCATAACTTATATCATTTCTTACCTGATATAATTTTCTGTGACAAATTGAGTCCAAATATCATATTCAGGGAACAGATGATTGACACAGAGGAACTCCACAAATGAAGCATAACCTTCATTTAACCAAAGGTGTGTCCACCACTCCATGGTGACCAGATTGCCAAACCACTGGTGAGCCAGTTCATGGCCCACTACCAGAGCTATCCATTGCCTCCTTACGGCTGAAGTGTGTTCTTCATCCACTAGCAAGCAAGTCTCCCTGTATGTCACCAAGCCCCAGTTTTCCATAGCACCAGCAGAGAAATCAGCTATAGCAATCAAGTCAATCTTTGGCAATGGGTAGGCTATATCGAAATACTCCTTATAATAGGGAAGTACTCTTGCTGCCACTTCCAGAGCAAACAATCCTTGTTTGCTCTTACCTACTGGTGTATACACTCTCACTAAAACACCATCACGAGACTTCTTCTCCACATAGTCATATTCACCCACAACAAAAGCTACAAGGTAAGTGGACATTATAGGAGTAGTGTCATAATGAATTCTCTTATGGTCTCCCTTCAGTTTCTCTTCTTTGACAGGCATATTAGACAAGGCTACACGGTCAGCAGGTACTTCGAGAGTAATATCAAACGTCGCTTTAATGGCAGGCTCATCCCAGCAGGGAAAGCAACGACGGGCATCTGTAGCCTCAAACTGCGTGACAGCTGCATAGCGCTCTTCACCACTAGGAGTCAGGTACTTGCTGCGATAGAGACCCTTCATTTTGTCGTTGATCTCGCCTTTAAACTCGCAGAGGAGTGTCGCCTCACCTTCCGCAAGTGGGCGGTCAAATAGAATTGTTGCAGTTTCATCTGCAGCGTTAAGCCGAACTTCGATCGGCGTGATAGGCTCCGAACCACCTTCATATTGAAGTTTGACATTGTTAAGCTCCAAATCCAAACAATTTAGCACTATTTCACTTGTTGATCTCAAGACCTAAAAGGCAATGTGTGAGGTCTGATTAGTGAGACACATGGAAACAATTTTTTGCATCGTCAATGTTGAAATTTCCACTTACCGATACTTTCACTGCTGTTTTTCCCGTGAATGTGAATTTCTCTAGATTCGGAATCAACTCCAAATCATAATGTTTGGGAACCACGAATCGAGGAAGACGCTGAAATTGTTTGTTTTCGGGCATTGTCACTCTTTCTTTCACGATCGTGAATGTAGGACGCGCTGTGTAGAAATACCGTAATGACCGAGTGACAGAGTGAACTCGCGCTCCAACGGCGCTGATACGTACTACCCCCCTCGCGCGTCGCAATCCCCACTCCGTATAACGGTATTCGCTACGTAAAAACGTACAATGGCGACGAAAATCGAAATAATGTGAACAATTTTCAGTTGGTAATACAATTGAATTACGTATGACGCGTATTAGTCGCAGCGTCATGGAAAACAGTAACACAGCAAGAGCTTTGAATAAGTGAAAGTTATGCTAATGTGTTTTTATTCATGAATGCAACAAACGATATTGAATTTAAATTTGAGGTTATTTAAATATCAAATGTCAATTTCAATTTTAAAGCTGTTGAAGTTCTGATTATGTTACCATAATTAAAAAAATATATTTTAAGTTTCGACAATGATTGAAGTTCAAGGGTTCATGTTTCCTTTGAGATTCTGGAGGCTGTAACGTTATTTTATGATCAGTGGGCCACAATGTATTAAAAAACGCCTTGTGTAGTCATTAACTATGTTTTATATTACTTCCTTCTTTTTTATAATTAATAACCCTTCTTGATTACGGCTGAAACTTCTCAAAAACAATATTTTTATTTTTCTTTTTGTAGTTTTTGTGATGTTACAACAAACTATACATGCCTTTCCTTTTTATAGGATTCTTCTAATTGACAGCACGGAACAACTCTTTGTGTAATCCACATTTATCGTTGTTTCGGGTCTGGATCTGGATGACATGACGAGTACAATAAGTATAGGTGAATTTGTATGTTTGTTTTGTTTGTAAAAGCCTATGGTAAAAGCACCCACGATACAAGAGAGAAAACCCTAGTGTGGGGCAAAATTTGATTAGAAAGAAAAAAAAAAATATTTTTACGGGATTGTTTGTCATTATTTTAGGTCTCGGATGTTCGGATGCATCATGGTGCATGCTATACTTATTCACTCTTTGATGGCAAGGACCAAACATATTATTTTATTATTTCTGTTTTATTGTTGTGTCATGCTATGTCTTGCCCTCTATAAATAATATGTCATTGAAACTGATCTAACACTTTATCTCAAAAAGGTAAAAAATAATACTATAGATATTACAAAACTCAAAACAAAGTTATGTTATAAATGTGCCAGGTAGCAGAGGCATCAGAATTAATATGAGACAAGCAAGCAACTTATTCTGCTAGATGGTAGTAGTGTAAACTGAAATCTATATCCATAGAGTACAGACCAATGACATTTGTCAAAGTCAACAAAAAATTACTAACCTTCCTTTTTTTCTCTTTGAGTGAAAAACTAAGGATTAAATGGGAATAAATTTCGTGATTCAATATAATTATTAATTGCTGGATGCTTAGCAGCAAAAAGCGAGTAAACAATTTGTACGGTAAATGCCTGCTTACTAAATCTTAAACTGTACAGTTTTTTCGCTAGGTAGTGCGCGCCGGTGAAATTGTGATCATGGCGAATCCGTCATCAGGCGTTGGTAAGTTTTTGTTTTATTTATTGCAAAGTTTTACATTTTGTGGTCAATATTTTGTGTCTATTTTGTAATTTTCATCCTTTCTGTGTTTAAATTATTCTAATCTAACTATTTTTGGGCAGTGGTGCCTCGAAACTTTCGTCTGCTAGAAGAACTTGAACAAGGCCAAAAGGGAGTGGGCGATGGAACCATATCTTGGGGACTCGAGAGTGATGATGACATGACCCTTACTCACTGGACTGGGATGATAATTGGCCCCCCTAGGGTAAAATATCTTGATATATTTCATACTAATTTTAAAATGTATTGATCAAAAAATACTCATTTTAATCCACATGTAATTTTCCAGACGCCTTATGAAAATAGGATGTATTCACTTAAAATTGAGTGCGGTACCAGATATCCTGATGCACCTCCAACTGCTCGCTTTATTTCTAGAATCAACATGAACTGTGTAAACAGTCAGACTGGACTTGTAAGTACCAATTATTATTGTTGTAAATAAACAAATCTGTATGCACTATTATATACTATAATCTGTTGTTGCAGGTTGATAATAGACAAGTTCCAATTCTTGCTAGATGGGAACGTGATTACACTATCAAGACAGTTCTGCAGGAACTGAGACGTCTCATGACACTGAAGGAAAACATGAAGCTGTCACAGCCACCAGAGGGAAGCACTTTCTAGTTTCTATTTTGAAAAGTTTTCTCAATAGACCCAATCTACCTGTTTTTTCACTTTGAATTCTCACAATGCTGTAATATTGTGTTTCACTTACATATTTGATTTTGACTTCAATATAAGTAATACTATGCTAGTGTGTATCTTAGACTTGTATAATTGCATTTATTGTGCCCTGAGTCAGTCTTCTGTGCTAAGTGCAAGGTTACTTTGATTTAATATTTGTAGATTGGGTGAATAAGTAAGAATTCAGTTTACATAGCTATTCAATTACCCATACAGAGGGTAACACCCATTTATTTATCATATTACCTAAATTATTGTGGCCTTTAAAAGTTAAACTTGCTTTTGGTATTATTAAGGCTAGTTTTACTGATGTCTTGGTTTAGGTAAGTGTTCTTATGTCCAAGCTATATAATACCTACAACTAATCATTTATTTGTGACCTCTTGTGGAAAATATGCATTTTTGTTATATTTCTGGGCAGAATGTATTTTTAATCCTGTGTATCTGTGTCTAAAATGTAAAGGATTTATTTCTATGTAATTAGTTATTACTGATTTCATGTGACCGAAAATTGCTTATTTTTTTTATAGTTTAACTTGATCAAGTGTAAAATATTGTAGGAAATTTTTATTTCTTAGGAACATAAGATAAAGTACCACTGGTTCATTTTCAGCTTTGCATCAGGTTAAATGTTTCTCTCAAACACATTACTAATGCATGTAATGCAATCTAATGGCTACCAACTATCAAGTAGCTTGTCAATTTGGGAACTACATAATTAATAATTCAGTTCCCATGCATCTGTTATGCATGAATTTAATGTTACAAACCAAATGCTAAGTCAAATTGTTTCATAGCATTAAATATTTTTACCAATGTATAACTAGCAAAAATAAATAAATCAAATACATAACACTGTCATAAATTGTCTTTTTCAAAACTCACTCTTCATAAAGCATCGAAATAACTACTTCAAACTATTTTAAAAATATTAATAGTAATTTTGATACATAAAATTGAAATATAAATAGTAATACCAATTTCCTTGTACAATTTATGTGATACATCTTAGAAAATATATATATATGAAATTAATTGAGCATAAGTGCAATAGTTTTACCATAACTAGGATAGTTAGTTCCTAAAAAGTTGTGTATGTAGTTGTTTTGGAGTATGTAACGAAAACTAAATTATCTCAAACATGAATAAAGCTATTGAAATGAAGCTGGTTTCTCAGCTTCCTATATAATAATATTTAGATGCTATTTATTGCAAGTTCAGTCTTGTTAGTCTTCACTGTTTATTGAAGAACCTTCAGTGAGCTTGTTACTTGATCTCAATTTACACTAGTATCCGTTTGCACCGGACATGCGGCAGTCCCCCAATCAATATAATACAAATGTATAACCGAAAATGACTCTCGGACTAATACTAGCAAAATCGTTTAAAATCGTGTTCGTAATTTTGAGAATTAATACGCAGCGAAGCTGGGGCGGGCACTAATCTTATACAAATGAAACCATAATATCTATTTAGACTATTGGCGTTATTTAAATAGACTTGTGGCAAATCATATTGTAATGAATGTAGCCATTCAACCTTAAACGGGTAACCGGGGCTCCGGCTCGACGTGCAGGACAAGGAACGGGGTTGTTTTTCAGTCAGTAAGAGTCTGACACTCCCTCCCGCCTCACCCAGCCGGGAGCAGTCATTCGATGAACTACCCCCCTTAAAAAAAACACCTATCACTTTATTATTTACATACAATAACAATGTAGGTACGTAAGTATCAGGTACAAGTACCTACACCCTAGTTATTAGTCGCTGTCTACGCGGGCGAGGTCGCAAAATAGAAACATCCAAGTGTTTACGTTACGTACACAACGTAGGTGTTGCGAGTAGCGGGATGCCGTGGCATATATTATCGTATAAAGCTGAAGAGTTTGTTTGAACGCGCTGATCTCAGGAACCACTAGCTAGTCCGATTTGAAAAAATATTTTTGTGTTAGATAGCCCATTTATCGAGGAAGGCTAGGATAGGCTATTAAACATCACGCTACGATAAATAAGCGCCGAGCAAAGCGAATAAAACCACGCGGTAGTAGCTAGTGTTTACTTAGAGTACGCCACCCTGGGGTCAAAATGTTATTGGATAAGTATAGGTACATTACCTTCTAGGCGTTATTGAGCGAAGTGCGCGAGTGTGCACCGTATGTGTAATATTGCAGTAATAATGGCAGTCAGGGCAAAGCCGAATGAAAAGATTCTCTATGTTGTAGGTACTTGTAGTACATATTATAATATGTGCACTTACAAGTATCTTTTAACATTTTATGCTGATTGAGTTATTCAGGGGCGGATCGTGACTTTGTGGGGCCCTGGGCTAATTCTACTCAGGGGGCCCATTTTCTAGGTAGTGTCAAAACACTACCAGCGATTTATTCTCTGTTACCCAAGAATCAGAAGATTTGGAATTGACCGTTCGCGCAATTTGTGAAGCGCACCTTGGTGAGGCGGCAAATGTAGCTCGGCAAAGATACCCTTTGGCCCAGTTGGTTTTAGTAGGGGACTTTAATGCCCATCACCAGGGGTGGTTGTTCCCATACCAGTGCACTGATTATGCTGCAAGGGAGATGCGTAAATTTGTGCTGAGCTGGTCCATAAGGCCTCATGTTGATACACTCATAACCAACTGCTTATACCTTCTGCTGACAACTGATCCAGACCGCAACTCGGTGTCAGTCTCGTCACGTCTACGTAGTTTTGATCACATACTGGTAAAATCTGTCTCCATTCTTGCTGAGTTGGTTGGTTGTCTTGGTTAGAGCACCGGAGAACCTCAGCGGATGTTGCGATACATATCAGCAGATTGGGATGGGTTGCGATTTCTTTGCGGCCTATTTCTTCTCTTTTGATGACCCGTCAGCTTGTACGGATGCTGTAACGGGGGTGTTGCATCCTTGCATCAAGGCATGGAATGCAGCATTCTATTCTCGGGCATAGTAACTTTCGGTGGTCCATGGTTCGATGCCGATTGCAGATGCCTCGAGGCGCAAAAGCACGCGGTATACTTGGCATGGACGGATACCAGGCGGCGTAAGGCTGGCTCTTTTGATGAGATCATCAAAAGAGGAGAAACCTTTAACCAGGCTGCCACGTCATGCAAAAATGTAATTCGGATAGCTCGGTTTCAGTGGCGTAGCGTGCCTTGGGGGGGCCCCGTATAAAAAATTGTTTAGGGGCCCTTGAACGATAAACATTTCTCACAACAGATTTTTTTTTACATAATTTTTGTAAGTTTCTGTAAACCTTCGAACGCATGCTTTACGCGGGAAAAAATCGTTTATTTTGACTTTTGCGATTACTGAAATAGAATAGAAATTGGGAAGTTTTTATTAATTTTTGCTTAGGCACGTTGGGGGCCCCTGTTGTAGTCCGGGGGCCCCGTATAATTGATACGGCAGATACGACGCAAGCTACGCCCCTGCTCGGTTTAATCACATTTGCTAAATAGAGAACAAACTTGCTTCCTGCCCAGCGTGGTAAAGCGTTTTGGACCCTGGCTCAGGTGGTCAAATAGAACACTTGTCACCCCTGACTTCCACCACTTCTGAGATCTGATGGGACGCGGTAGAGAAGGAAAACCTTCTCTGCTTCACTTTCCTTCTTGGGGGATAGGTCAATTCGAGTAGTCATCGTTGATTGCTCGTCTGACCAATTTGGTATTAACGTTGGGGTTCCTCAGGGGTCAGTACTTCGCAACACTCTTTTTGCTGCATATAGACGACCTGCTTAAACCTTTCGATATTTCATCAGAATACAGCTTGGTTCCCCCTAATACTTCCATATCCACTTCATGGTGGATATCTCACCCAATCGCACAAAAGGTTTCGGTTCAAGCTTCCTTGTGCGAACCGCTAAACAGTGAAATTCGTTGCCTCAACCTGATTTCCCCATTAAGGGAACTTAGGTGTCTTCAAGGCCCGAGTGCATACGTTGCTTACGAGCAGGCGTGCTCCAACGTAGGTCGCATCATCGCTTATTTACATGGATGGCCACAAACGTCGACTATAAAGAAAAGCATGGAGAAAGAGCGCTTCGCTTGGCACCTGGTGATAGGCAACGTTATTTTTAATGTGTATCAATTTGGTAATAAACTATTACACCAACATAAAACGGTTTTATTTAGCTTCTACCGTTTCTTTGGGTCTTTATTAATTTAAAACGATCTTCCTGACGATAGATCGATTTTATAATTGGTACATACTCTTAATCTTGATGACTATACAATATTCATACAAAAAAGCTTTTTTTGCTCACAAACTAGTTTGGTTAGTAAAATAGACTTCGTCATTTTTTATACACGTGATGTTCATTTTAAATAATGATCATCTATTATTTTCTGGGGGCCCTGGGCTTAAGCCCAAAAAGCCCTTAGGTAGATCCGCCCCTGGAGTTATTATAAATGTCTTTCTAATAAATCTGCTTATTGCAAGAGCCAAGATGCAATTACGTTGCGTTTTACTAAGGATACAGTGATTTATTTTTGAGTAGCTAATGTTATATGAGTTTGTGATACTTACGCCATTTTATTTACAAAATTCTTACATTGGCTGCTTTACTTGTTGGGTACTCAGAAGTCAATATTTCAGACTGAATGTTGCTAATATAGGTTATCTCATTTGGTTTCTGTAGCCGTACGACTAGGTCGGTATTAACTTGGTGGCGCAACAAACTAGTCGGCAACTAAATCAACATTTTAGTGTCTATTCAAGTGTCTTTGCTGTCACCACGGTTGGGAGGGCACTTATCCCATACTTTTAGTCAATTATATTTTTAGGTATGTTATGTGTGGAAAACCAACCAAATAAATTGCAAATTAGATTTTACTTTTATACTTTTAATAATATCTCCAAATATTAATCTCGACCATTATTTAAATAACAAGCACCGACACAAAATATACTAGGGAAACAGTGGTTCACACACATATCTGAATTTTACCATAATTATACAATTTATATTAAGTTGGCACCGAACAGCACAAGAATAGGAAATGCATTAACACACAATTTCTTTCTTTGGTCTGGGTATAATTATTGCAAACTTAGAGCACCACTGCAGTGCTTCATGATCCAACTTTAAGTGTATTACACAATTATTATTTTACAATGTCAACCTAGTAAGATATTGTATGCGACATTGCTTTATTAATATTAACTAAAAGTTACTTATTTAAGTAATATTTGAGATAGACTATTTATTTACAACAATTTAAATATGTACATAGATTTTTAAATACACAACATTAACTTACTTTAAAAAAATGTAACCATTCTAAAGATGCATACAATCTACAAATTATTAAACAATTTTTGTTTTCACAATCTAATCAACTAACATTTACCTCTTAAAAGTCACAAATGAGTTAGCGACAAAGACGCCTACATGATTAAATGCAGGTATCGATATATAAAGAAAATGAAGCGTTCACACACTGGATACGCTCAAGTCTATGATAATTAACGACTACAATAAATTAGTATATTTTGCACAGATCTAGTGCTAGCCGTCTTCATGCTACTTGAGTTTTACTCTACCATTTATGTTTATAACAATTATAAACAAACACTCAGTACAAACTTATGTATATTTTACAGATATTGAAAACAATTTTAAATCATTTGCAATGATGATAGTAATAATACAGTCATAATAAGAGGTAGAAAATATGCTACAAATATGTACCTAATTACCAGTCTGATGATGCGATGGGATCTAACGCCCAACATACCATGAATCCATATAAAGGTTAGATTTCGCACCAACACAAACACTTATTAAGTGGTTCAGATATCCATATTTTGTAGCACTATCGTTCACAAAGATGGAAGCAACAGGTGCAGTCGTGCAGTGTCGGCGCCGCGAGTGCGAGGCGAGCCCAGCCGCAGTGATGCACTCAAGCGATGTCTATATACAACGACGCGACATCGAAGTTACACACACAATAAGCTAATTTTACTTTTCCTAATCGGACGGGTCATCACGCATGACGCAAATGAGAAAGAATACAATCATCTTTTTAACACTCGTGTGATTTAGATATATGAATTAATTAGTATAAATTCTGAATAATATAAAAGCATGTATTTCTAAAACAATAAACATACATGCGTTTGTATAAAATTACTGGAAAATCTTATGAAAATAACTTTAAAACATGTAAAAGATCAATTCAAAACATTCACTGATATATAGATATTAGATAATTTTTAAAAACTTTGAAAAAATAAATAAAATATTGCTTAAAATTAAGAGCAGATAATACGAAATATATATTCCTTGAGTACGTGATAGTGCAACCAGAATTTATTTCAATACACTCCACTGACACATACTTGAATAAACACAAATTTGATAACAGGCAAGTTCAAAGAATTCAAGTGCAAGAAGATTATACAATACCTTCATAATTAAATGTACAGTTGATACCAAATGATATAACAACAACAGAACAGCTGTTCAACAGAATAATTATAAACATAAGTGAAAATTACAAAGCTAATTGTTCAATTTTATGTGTTAACTTTTTCAAAATTAAATATTTTGACCCTGTTTAACCTAACGAATGGTCAAGACGAGATAATGAATGCGAATCAGTCAATATATAATGTACAGCTAAAAGTAAAATTTACTACTTCTCTGTCATTGAGTTATCATCATCACCCATGAATTTGAATTTACGCTTTAACTGAACCATTAGAAACCCTGTTTTCCTGTTAGGATTTTCTTTATAAAAATACAATGAATAGAAACTTTTCAATACCAGTCAGACAGCAAAAAGTCGACAATGGTCTCACGCGTTAAGCTTTAATTGTATTAAGTAATCCTTCCCACTTTCAGCTTTAATTTCATATTTGTTCGATGATAACTCTGACGACATCACTCATCATTTCCGGCCGTATTTTAAGTGACGGCGTCTATAGGATAAGTAGTTAGATATTCATCGGGTTCACTACATCAAAAAATCTAAAAATCAAACATCGTCGTTCACGCGGAGTCGCCATCGCGCGGACCGTCGGTGTGAGATAATCTCTTAAACTACCCAATGTGTTGGTTGCGGCGCGGTACCCAAGGAGACGGGAAACGAAGTTCGGCGGGATCGATAGGCTCCGGAGCCGGTGGCCGGGCGACGCGCGGGCCAGCGCGCGCGGCGCCGTGCGGGTCGCCGCGCGGGACAACACGCGGGCCGGCGCGGGGCTAGCACAGGCCGTGCAGGCGCCGC